GTGTACGGGTTACATACATGTTGGACTGCTAACCACACGGTCAGCAGTTTGAACCCATCACCCCTAAGGGACAAAGATGAGGCTTGGTATTCCTGTAACGATTTACAGACTCAAAAACCCAAAGAGGCAGCTCTACTCTGCCCTATAGAGTTGCTATGAGTCAGAATTGACTGGATGGCAATGAGTTTGGCTTGGTTTTCTAAGGAGACATAGTGGCACTACGTGTTAGACTGCTGAATGCAAAGTTCGTGGTTCAAGCCCACCTGCTACTCTGAGGAAGGAAGATGAAGTGTCTGCTCCTGTAAAGATTTTCAGTTTGGGGAACCCTGTATCAGCTCATTATGAGTAGCAATTTACTTGATGGGTGGGAACCAGGAAGAGAGTGCACACAGACAAACTCTCAACATACATATGCTAAGGAGTGTGGCAGGCCAGGGCTCCTGTGGAGGGAACCTTAATGTTAATGGGTTGGAGATGTATCCCACTCACATTCTCTGTAGTAAAATTCCCCCCATAATCCAACTTTAAGGTGCTGTTTGCAAACACTTGATCACTTACTATATCCTTGAATTTCAACTGCTTGAAGGCTATCTGCCTGAAGGGGATCAGGCAATCAGACACTATTGTCTTTCCAACCCTAAGTAGGGCCCACTCTCTTTTGATAAAGATCACAGATTATTCCCCTGGAGAAGAGTTCAAAGACACCTAAGGTCAAGCCAGCTCAGACACAACCAAAGTTAAGCTGCCTTCTTGACACTAGAGACCGCCCATCTTGTTATGTATGTACTTGCCGGTCACAGGTCACAGGAATGCCCCTAGTGCCTCCCCTTCCTATTTCTTGTATCCCTTCTCCCCACCCTAGCTCATTCCCCTGTTACTCATATGCCTTTAATACAACCCCTTCCTGTTATGTCTGAGCTTATCATGGCTTTCTTGCCATGATTGTGTAAGTCTGTGAGAATAAAGTACATTCTCATTCCGGTTCTGGTCATGACTAAATAGGTGAGCCCTTGCATGCTTTATCTTGTCATATGGCTCTTTAATTTACCCCTCAACTACATAACCACCCTTTGGGCCCATTCAGTTGTGGGAGTTGGGAGGTTTCTCCAATTTGTGGACTGCCTTTTCACTTCCTTGATGGTGTCCTTTGACATAGAAAAGTTTGTAACTCTGATGAAGTCCAGTGTATTGATTTCTTCTTTTGTTGCTTCTGCTTTTGATACTGCAGTTAAGAAACTAAGGCCGAACCCAAGATCATGAAAATGTATTTCCATGTTTTCATCTAGGAGTTTGATAGTTTTGTCATCCATGCAAATTAGCGTTTGAGAACCACTGCTTAGGTCACACCTTCTACCCTCAATGACTAATCAGGTTTTTTTTTCACAATCCTTACCTTAGGAATTTTCTTTTTTTTTTTTAACCTTAGGAATTTTCAACAACAAAAAAAGAATTTAAGTTATCTGTCAGAATAATTTAAAAAATAACCTAGGTAATATACATTGAGCACTTGGTATGTGCTCAGCAATTCACATTGCATTATCTTGTTCAGTCTTCATGAGATAAGGGTTACTGCCAGCTCCACACCTGAGTGAAGGAAACTGAGGCGCAGAGAAGTTAGAAGACATGCTTCAGATGAAAGCAAAGAAATGGCAGAGATCATATTTGCATTGAGATGTATCTGCCTCCAGAGTCCTTGTTCACAACCACTCCTCCCGACACTGGCTCTATGAGGATGCGATATTATCTCCTCGTACATCTCTATGAAAGGTTGTACGGGCTAAAAAAGCCCATGTGGATTGACTGTGGCACAGAGCAAAACCACAGTGAGATAGCATCGTGTTCCCATCAGAATGGGAATGATCAAAACAATATGTGCTGGTAAGGTTGTTGAGAAATCGGGGCGGCGCTCACCCACTGCTGGTAGGAATGTAAACCGGTATAGCGGCTGTGGACGAGTGTGGTGGTTCCTCACAAAGTTGAACTTACAACTACCGTATGACCCAACAACCCCACTCTGTAGGCGTCATACAGGGAGCTGGGCAACCATAGTCCTTGCAGCGCTTTTCACAGTAGCTGAAAGGTGCTAACAACTGAATGTCCCTCAAGAGATGAATGGATACATTAAATCCAATATATACATCTGATGGATGATGAACACACCTTGAGAACGCGGTGCTGAGGAAAAGAAGTCATTTACAGAAGGACGAGACTGATTGAACTTACCCGAAGTCAGCAAATAAACTGAAAACAAAATTAATAGTGGTTAACAGCAGGGAGTGGGGGAGGAAGGTGGAGTGTTTGCTTATGGTTGTGAGTTCATGCTAATGACAAGAGTCATCTAAAAACGGATAGCGAGAATGATTGCGCAGCTTGAAGAGTGTAATGAAGGCTGCCGAGTTGGGCGTGTACAAATCCTGGAACTGGCATGGTTTGCTGTGTATATTTTCACAAATACATGTATGTATATGGCTCAGTGCGTGGCAGAGACCAGGGTTCAGTGGATACCAGTGACTCTTCATATTCCTTCACAATCTTCCCCTTCCAAGTGACTTACCCCTCTCACTGGCCCAGAAAGTAGTCTGGGCCTGATGTGTGCATCCTCCTAGCACCCTGCCCCACTTTGTGCTCTCACCATGATTTACGGTTTTATTTTTGTATTATCTTTGACTTATCTCCTCCTACTCTTCAAGTTCTATAAAGGCAGAAGAAAGGAGGTCATAGTGGTAACATCATATTGTCCCTGCAATATTATCCAACATCCAGTGTAGGGCCCGGAGATAGTGCTCTTTTAAAAAGACATCCATCTGGAGAGTCGGTGTGTAAGGGCACTGGGCTTATGCTAAAGGTGGTGGGAACCAAACAAACCCAGAAGGAAAACCGGTAGCGGTTGTACATTGTGAACACAGTTATTGAATTGCAGGTGTGAAAATGGTTGAATTGGTAAATGCTTTGTTTTATATATTTTGCTTCAATAAAATAAGGAGCCCTGGTGGTGTAGTGGGGTATGCGTTGGGTTGTTAACAACAAGGTCCCCAGTTTGAATCCACCAGCCACTCTACATGAGAAAGATGAGGCTTTCTAGTTGTGTAAACATTTGAGATGGCAGTGAATACGTGAGGGATAACAAACTAATATTTTAAAGCATACTTCTGTTCACATCACTTTCTGGTTTAAAACTCTGCAATGGCTCAATAAGTTGCATTCTGATCAAACTCCAATGAAAAAAATCATTTTATTGGGGGCTCATACAACTCTTATCACAATCCATACATACATCTACTGTGTCAAGCACATTTGTACATTTGTTGCCATCATCATTCTCAAAACATTTTCTTTCTACTTGAGCACTTGGTATCAGCTCCTCATTTTTCCCCTCCCTCCCTCATGAACTCTTGATAATTTATAATTTTTTTTTCATGTCTTACATGGACCGATGTCTCCCTTCACCCACTTTTCTGTTGTCCATCCCCCAGGGAGGGGGTTATAAATAGATCATTGTGATCAGTTCCCTCTTTCTCCCCCACCTTTCTTTTCCCCTCCTGGTATTGCTACTCTCATTATTCATCCTGAGAGGTTTATCAAACCCCAATTTGTAATCAAAGTCAACCAGTGCCTCAGTCTCTTCACTCACACAATCTACCACTCTCTCCATGGGGTCGCATCCCCTCTGGCCATCCTTGCTTCACCAGTGATCTGCAAAGCACACCTTCCAGTTAGTCCTCATTTTGGAAACGAATTTTCATGACCTCAAATGTCCTCTCTTTCCAGAGCCTTCCCTCACCACCTAGATGTGTTACCCTTGCTCCTCTGCAACAGTTATTTTTAATCAGGTACCGGTTTCATTTTCTTCAGAGAGCTGCAATGTCTTTGACATTTATTTAATATTTATATAGCTAACATTTGAGCACTTATCACAAGCACTTTTTCTATGTTAACTAGTGAAGTGGTATGCTGCTTAATGCTTATTAACTGGCTCTCCAAACCAAAATGTCCTAATTGGTAATGTTTACTGATTTCGGTACAAGCTACTATTCTGAGGTTCCTGAACAGGCTATTTAAGGACAGCGGCATTACCATTTTATAGTATTTCTGCCATCAAGACACAGTTGCTAAGTATACTCGAGCACCGATAACACTGTAGATGAGGCAAAATGATGAGAAAGTAATGAGCTTTGAATATTCACTGCCATTGTTTTGAATATAAATTATTTGCAAAGTTAGTTCTCTTAATTTTTATTTTTTATTTTTTTAAACATTTTATTAGGGGTTCATACAACTGTTATCGCAATCCATACACACATCAATTGTGTAAAGCGCATTTGTACATCATTCTCAAAACATTTTCTCTCCACTTAAACCCCCGAAATTCTCTTAATTTTTAATAATGGTTGTGTTTAATCACCGATTTACAAAATCGCTCAACATTTCTAAAGCGAGCCTGTACCAGTCAATTCTAGTACATTTCAGAGGAGGTCCAGAAAGATAGCGCAATTTGTTCAAGTTTACAAAGCGGATGAATCTATTATTCCAAAATGTATCCTCAGATCTCAAATTCACTGCCCTAGCGTAAAGCTGGCGTTCAAGACACAATTGTAGACTAGGAAATGAATCACTATGCCATACCCTTTAAATATACAGAAAAGAAACATTTAATGGAAAACATGCTCATAGGAGTGAAACTAACTTTATAAACGCGCTCACAATCTCAGGAAGAAAACTGCTCTCCGTCAGATCAGCGCTTTAGCTCCCGCTCGGTTTCACGGTTCGCGTTTTCTCCCGAGGTGTCGGCCAACGGCTTACCATCAGCTTGAGCCGCCGCGCGCTCCGTAGTCCTCGCCGGCCGCGCCGCAAGGCTTCTTGGGAGTGCGAGTCTCCAATTCGGCGGCTCGGGCGGCTGAGGCGGCGCGCGGGAGACTGCAGGACTACAGCGGGCGGCGCCCCGGCCGCGAGCCTCTTCCGCCTCGCCAGTCCTCCCCGCCTGTGCGCCCGCCCCGGCTAGCATGGCGGCTCCCTTGGCCCTGGTGCTGGTGGTGGCTGTGACCGTGCGGGCGGCCTTGTTCCGCTCCAGCCTGGCCGAGTTCATTTCCGAGCGGGTGGAGGTGGTGTCCCCTCTGAGCTCTTGGAAGAGAGGTGAGGCCACTGGCGCGAGTAGGCGGCCAGGCCCCGCTGCGCTGTCCCGGCTCCCGTGAAGGGGAGGCGGGCACCGCGGCCGGGAGCGCGCGGTTCGGAAGGAACCGAGCCGCTCCTGGGGCCTTCAGGGAGGGGTCGCTGAGGCGGAGGGCGGGGCCGCTGAAGAGGGGGCGTGCGCGGGGTTCCGAGGCGCTGGTTCGGCGGCCGGACCACCTGCGGAGTGGAGCTCCGAGGGGGCGTGTCCCGTGGAGGGCCCTGATCTCAGGCGTGGTCCCAAGGAGACTGGAATGAAAGGAGGTGGTGCTGGGTGGGGTGGGATTTTTGGAGGTGATTGGGGTTTGCGCTGGATAGTGAGCACGGTGTGTGAGGGAACAGGGGTGAGGGGACCAGGAATGTGTGTTTAGCTGCCTCTTCTCAGTGTGGGGTTTGCAATGCAGTTTCTTCTACCGTTCTTTCATATTTCTTGAAACTCTTCATTAAACAATTTATTCTAGCACTTAACAATGAGACAGGCTTGTGTGACAGACAAGAAGATTATAACTACCGTGTAGGAAAAGTGTACTCCTGTGCCCACCCACTACCTTCCAGAACGTCTCTGACCCCGAATAAACTCTTCCTTTTCCAGCTTCCTCAAGACTTGGGATTTGAGCTTACTCTTGAAGGATGTAGGACTCAGAAAGGGAGATTAGACAGTGGGGCAAGTCCAGGTAGCAGAAAATACACAGGATCAAATAATATTCAAGGACAAGCAACGTTTGTTCAGTGTAGGAGAGTAATAGGTTGGGGGTTTACTGGGGCCAGAATTTGAAAGTTGAAAACAAACAAAACTTTTTATTTAAGTTTAATATACATAAAAATGCTCATATAATAAATCAGAGTTCAATGAGGTTATTCAGATTTACCTTAAAAGCTCAGAACATTATCTGCACCCCAGAAGTTCCCTTCATGCTTTTGAAGGCTTTTAACTGCTAATTTGGATATAATTTCATTGACCTTTTGGAATGGGGAATGGCAAATAAATGAGGATTTGGTTTTTTAAAATAAGTGATGGCTTTATGAATGGAGCTAAGGTTTAAAAATAGTATCTGGTCAGCTGTTTATATACTTTTTCTCATTTAATCTTCACAGCAATTATCTGAGATAGGTGCTGTTATCCCCCCCCCTCCAATTTTATAAGGAGGAAACTCAGATTTAGAGAATTTAAGCAATTCAAGTGTGAGATGTTAAGAAGTTGGCTTTGATGTCTTTGTGTGTAATTATTTAGTGAACTGAAATGAAGCCACTTGATTCTTCCTTTCTTTTGGGCACCAGGAAACCCAAAGCAATGTTAGCTCCTCCTCCCATTGCGCTCACAGCACATTATATGACCTGCTTCTGTTAAGTGTATAGTTGGTGGGTGGCATCAAGTCCATGCCTACTCATGACCCCATGTGACAGAATAGAACTGGTTCCTAGGATATTCTTGGATGTGGGTTGACAGATCTTTTTGCTGCAGGACTGCTGGCTGAGTTTGAACCACTCAGGGCGTTTGAACCAGTTTGCTCCACTCAGGGATTCCTAGATTAGTCTCATTCAAAAATAGAGGTACAGAGAGATGAAGTCATTTGCCCAAAGTGCCATAGCTAATGTTCATGTGAAGAGCTAGCAAGCTTTGGGCATAGTTGTTCCACCAGGGTCTACTCTATGCACTCTTGTGTAACAGCCTGTCCGTAAAAATATGAGAACCTTTGGCTCTGTTTTGGACTTTCTTCAGCCTTGGGCCCTAAAGTTCAGGAGTTCTTGTTAGGTGCTGTTGAGTCCTGATTCATATCGACCCTATGTGTAACAGAAACACTGCCTGGTCCTGCGCCATCCTCACAACTGTTCTTATCGTTGAGCTCATGTTTGCAGCCGCTTCATCAATCCATTTTGCAAGGGCTTCTTGACTTCAGGGCTGAGGTCAAGCCATTGGTGCTTCTCCAGAAACCCATTTAGATGAGAACCATGATCAGTAGGAACTCCTCTGATACTACCACTTAAAAAAAACCCAACAGCTTCTTATTAAACCATAAAATGCAGAATCAAAACACCACATGGGACAAATGTATTCCCCAGTGAATTATTATAAGGTGAATGCTTTTGTAACCACCATCTAAATCGGGAATTGGAATTTTGCCACTCATTCTAGAAGCTTCTTCCATATCCCCATTCCAACCAAAGCCTTACCTTGTAAGTAGCCAATCTCTTGACTTTTAAGTAATGATGTCTTTGCATTTTTTAAAAAGGGCTAACACTGAAATGAGCATGCCCCAAACCCTCTAGTTTAGTGTTGACTAAAAAAAATCTATGTTTGGGAGCAGGGGTGGGTGCACGGTAAAGGGGAACTGATGTCAAGGTGTTCAAGAAGAAAGGATGTTTTGAAACTGATTTGGTAGCAATTGTACAATACTGCTTGATGTGATTGAACTATGGAATGATATATCTATATTAGTTCCCAATAAATAGTTTTGGAAAAAAAAGTACATGTTTGTCTATGTCTTTAAATTCTTTAAATTCTCTGTGGATTCCTTTTTTCCTTTTTCTGTAGTATTTTTCCATTGAAGGACTCAAGCCATTTGACTTGTAGACTCTTTTTTCCTAACTGTATATTTATAGTAGAGTTCAACATGTTCCTTTGCCCTCTGTATTGCCTGAAGATTGGTATCTGAATCCAGAGATTGGATACCACTATTTTTGTTAATTTCATTTTAACTTTTTATTTGATATCATTTTAGACTTACAAAGGCGTTGCAAAAATAGTAGAGAGAGCCCCTATACCTTTCACCCAACTTTCTTTGTCAGCATTTTACAAAACTATAGTAAAATGATCGAAACTAAAAGAATAATATTGATACAGTACTATTAATTAAACTGTGGTTGTTATGTGGAATTACTAATTTTTTTCAGTTTCTAAGATGGAGTGCAGATCCTATATTACATTTAGCTGTCATATCTCCTTAGTCTTCTCTAATCTGTGACAATTCCACAGCTTTTCCATGTCTTTGCCCTGGTGGTGTAGTGGGTTAGACATTGGGTTGCCAACTGCCAGGTCAACAGTTTGAAACCACCAGCTGTTCTGCAGGAGATAGATGAGGCTTTCTACTCTCATAAAGATTTACTGTGTGAGAAATCTGTCTACTCTATCTGTTCTGTAAGGCAATTTGTAATCTACTCTGTCCTGTAAGTTCTACTCTATCTGTCCTGTAAGGCAATTTGTAATCTACTCAATGGCAGTGAGTTTTCTCCTGTTGCCTTTTTTTTTAGATCACTTTAACACTTTTGAAGAGTGCCAGTCAGATATTTTTGTACACTGTGTCTCAAATTGGATTTGTGTGATGTTTTCTCATGATTAAATTGAGATAAGGGGCTTGGGGGGAAGAATATCATTGAGATGATGTGCCTTTCCATGTCAGTGCATTGTCTCAGGAGTACTTGATATTAAAATGTCATATTTCTGATAATATTAACTTTAATCCCTGGGTTAAGGGAGTGTCTCAACTTTCTCCACTATAAAGTTTTGCCTTTGTATTTTGCCTTTGTAATTAATAAACATTTTGGGAGTCAAAACCAGTAGGAACATTGGGGCTCTGTAAATACCTTGTTTCTCCTTAAACTTTTGCCTAATTTTTGCATTTATAGATTGATCTTACTTAAAACAATTATGACTAAACTCAAAATAACAAACTTACTGCCATCGAGTTGATTCCAACTCATGATAACTCTGTAGGACAAGGTAGAGCTGCCCCTGTGGGTTTCCAACACTATAACTCTTTACGGGAATGGAAAGTCTCATCTTTTTCCTATAGAGCACAGCTGGTGGTTTTGAACTGCAGGCCTTGTGGAATGCAATGATCGACACACAACCACACACACCCTCCAGGGGAAAGAACAACGGAAATCATGGGGGAAGGGAGACAGTGGTTGGTGTGAGATAGGAAAATAATAATAATTAAAATATAATAATAATAATTTATAATCTATCAAGGGGTCACAAGGGTGAGGGGTAGGGAGGGAGAAAAAAGAACTGATACCCAGGGCCAGTAGAAAGTAATTGTCTAGAAAAGAATGACATGTACATTGTACATGGTACAATGATATGACAACATATGTACAAATATGCCTGATACAATTGATGTATGGATTATAATAAAAATTGTAAGAGCCCCCAATAAAATGATTTTTAAAATTGTGATTCTGGAGCAAATTAGGTTCTCATTTAACAAATTCTATGCATTTTATTCAGTGACATTTGTTAGACTTTGCACTGTGTCATTTCCATTGTGGTGGTTCTCTTTCCATTAATCTAGCTTCCTTGCCCCCTTTACTTTCTTGTCTTTGGTCTTAAATGTTGACTAGTAGGTGTCATTTAGCTGATCACAGGTAGTATTTATTTTATGAGCCACTAGGTGACCTCCGGGAGTAGTTTGAGTTCCAAGTTTCAAGAGCATTCCGGGATGTTAGTTTTGGGGGTTCTTCTAGTCTGCTAGTCCAAAAAGTCTGGCAATTTTTAAAAAAGGAATTTAAGCTTTGTTTTCTATTTTTTCACTATTCTGAGACCATCTAGTGTGCTCCACCCAGTCAGTTGTAGTAGCTGGGCACCATCGAGTTCTGATCTCAGTGAGGCGGAGGTTTGTGTAAATAGTATTATACACTAGTTTTTTCTTTCTTTTTTTTTTTTTTTTACACTAGTTTTTTCTTTGAGTCTTTGGTTGCTCCCTTCCTCTTTTGCACAGATGTGTAGAGACCAATTATTGTATATTATCTTTTAACAAGTTTTTAAACCCCCGATGCTACTCACCAAACTAGGATGTAGAATGATCTTGATGAACTGTTTTTTGTTTTTTTTTAATTTTATTTATCGAATTTGAGTCATGGTAGTGGGAGCGGGGAGGAAACATTTAGGAACTAGAGGAAAGTTGTATTTCTCATCATTGTTACATCGCACCCTGACTGGCTCATCTC